CCAGCTGCTCACCCAGCAGGAGGGTGTTCGCCGCATACACGCCCAGCGGAAAGGTGAATCCCCACCAGCCCATATTGAAAGGGAACGGGGACGCATGATAGATAGTCGCAAGAGCAAATACAAGCCATATCAGCCCGAAACTCCACATAAGCAGCGAGATGAACAGCCCCATGGTGTACGCGACCGATCCCGCCATGGGGTCGATCACTTCGTGAGTCTCGACGAGTTTGCGCAGAACCTTTCCAAGATACAGAATTCTATCTCGTCAGATCAAGTTGTACAGCAGGAAATAAGGACTTACCCAAAACCGCCGAAGCCCAGCGGTCCCAGCGGCAAGAAACAACTGACAATCGTCTCCCGGGACGGCAGCTTATGCACCGCCAGACGCTGGTAGTATATCACCAGAATGGTCATCGCGAGCGGCGTCCCCATGCCCCAGAGGATATAAGAGACAAGCACAGTGCCCATGGCATGCGTCGGATCTGGCAAAATCTCAGCAACCTCCGCCCCGGTCCCTGCCGCAACGATAGTCGCCGCGATAGGGAGAAGTTGCAGCGCGGTGATGCGTTCGAGCGACGTAATATACGTTTGCGATATCCTGTTATCGTCAACCTTTTTCGTTAAGTCATCAGTGGCTGGAAATACAGAATGAACGACAATGACACCGTCACCGACGCAGCCGCCACCGCATCGACAATCCACAGCGCCCACGCCACCGTCCTCGTCCACTCTCCCCAGACCGGCACACAGACGAACACCCACATCTCGATCAGTGTCGCGAAACCCATCGGACAGGTCGCGAGGAAGAGCGAGTTCGTCGGGTCCTGGATCATCACGGCCCAGATCTCGGGGTACAGCGTGTACCGGAGGATGGACATGGAGAGCACTACAGCAAAGAGAACGATATTGAGAATGAAGAAGACGATGGATACATAATGCAGGTATGTATGTCCAAATGGGATGATATGGAATAGAATGGCGACGATGCCGGTGCCCATTGTCGTGGAGAACCATCTGTGGATTGTCAGTGTCGTGTTGCGATGGGTGTGCCAGCAAAGTGAGCAGACTTACGATGGGCTGAAATGGCTGACCACACGACGCCAGCCAGCGTGATATTTGAGGAAGCTTTTACTTGGTGTTGGTTTGGGACGAGGATCCATTTTGAAGATTCGATCACTTGTCGATATTCAAGATGATGGATGATATTTCATGAGTCCATGACTGAAGTTGGAATGTGGTTAACCTCGGCCGAGAGGAAATCTTTCCTCGACGCGGGTATAGCCGATGATGGCAAACACTCCGTATGTCTCAAGGAGTCAAGATACATGGTTTTGAGTATTGAGTATCAAAAACTTTGGGCATTTAAAAAGTGATTACAATACAAGTGCTGTACATAGAAAGAGGCACAAATAATTTCAGTTGCAGAGAGGGAGACTATCGCCAAACGAGTGACATCCTCTAAACTGTCAAGACACACAACTTCAATAAACGACAATTCGACATGAAGGGGAGAGCAGTGACTCCCCTAACTTTATACCAGACCCAAGACGCTCAGAATCCGCCAGGTCCACCACCCATGCCACCAGAAGGGGGGCTGCCGCTGCTGCCAGGAGCACTACCACTGCTACCTGAACTACCAGAACTACCAGACACTGCCTCACTGCCGCTGGAGGTGTAAACGAAGCTATAAGTAGGTGTGTAGGTTGCTGTTAGGTCGACAGCCACAGTGGCCCAGCCCAGCAATCCATCCTCCACACTGTCTCCGAGGAGGACGTAGTTGAACACTGGGTCCGAGGTGGTGCCAGACGTCTCATCCGAGAAGACGCGGTCCTCGGCGTTGGTGGTCTGCTGGACAGTGTTGGTGCTGTAGGGAGAGGTAGCTTCCACTTCGTCGATGAGGGTCTGGTCCCAGAAGAGCTGGCCGATATGGGGAACTGTGCCGCCTGTCAAGGTGTTGTTGGAAAGCAAGGTGGCATTCAAATGGGCGATGATATGGTGATGATTCGTTCTGCCCGAGTAGTGACCGGGGAAGAGAGTGTTGAATGATACCACACCGTCGGAATCCGTCTTGGCGATACCACGCAAAAAGGTCTCGTCAAGGATGGAGGTGTCCGCGCTGTTGCCGTTGCCGTTGCCGCTCACGCCAGAGTATACACCGGTTGCGTTGCAACTCCAGGTGTCAACGTACAGGCCCTCGACGGCCTGGCAGGTGCTGACATCGACGAACTGAATATCCAGCAGAACGGGGACACCGGCCTGGTCCTCGATGATGTCCGAGCGGATCAGCTCTCCGCTAACCCAAAAGGGGCCTACCTCGCCCTCGGGGTTGAGAACGCAGGTGCCAGTGCTGCTGAAAATTTCCGTCTCGTCGGTCGAGGCCGTGTAGTCGGCTGAGGACAGGTGAGAGGTGTTGAGCACGTCGTCGGTGTCGCGAACGGCTAGCTTACGGCGCCGGTACTCGCTGGCGAGCTTCGCACGGCGAGCAATGGCGCGCGCATTGAGACCACTCTCATCGAAAGAGCGCGCGCACAGCGAAAGACCACGGCGGACGTGGGCCTTGAACGCCAGCAGCTCGTTAGATGCCCGCTTCTCCTCGTGGCCAGGATGAGCGCACACCAAGGAGGCTCCGAGTAGATAAAGAGAAAGAACTTGGTTCAGCTGCATTTTGAGGTTTCGGTGATGATATCGGTAGCAAAGTATCTGTGGGATTGTCTAGTGAAGAACCATGAATAGCCAGCGGACGGCGGACCCTTTATATAGACGAGCAGCTGCCATATGCTATTCAAGCACTTCCCGTGAAGTTGAGAGAGAGCCCATCAAGAGATCGTTTCCTTGATAGTCGCTTATCGCAACTCCGACTCGACGCGTCAACTGCTAGGCTCCTAGGAGTAACACCATCCGAATAATGACAAGCTTCGGGCCATCTAATGCACACCCGTTGCTTCTCTCAATGCCGAGAAAAGATAATACCTGCATCTGCTCACTCCGGAGCAGCAGAATGTGAACATACTCCGCTGTGCCAAGACAGAGAGTCGTCAGTGGGTGACGAATACCTTTATTTAGCCTGCATGTCCACAACGGCAAGATCTGCGCACTGGTGGAAAATAAAGAGTAGCTTAATCAACATTCAGCCAGTCATAAGCAAGCTAATTCTTCTGTCGTGACAGTTGGCGTAATGATCTGCATCCATTCGCCGACGGATCCAATCATCGTCTAGCCATTATGATCACTCAGAGGATTGATCAAACGTACCTGACGATGGCCTCGACGCATTATCAAACGAGCGAAGGTCCCAGCCATCTGATCAAGTCAGTGCATGTGGCCGAGGCAATGTGACAGGCAAAACTAGCTGGAAGCATCTGGTCAAAGTACAGATATGTGCTGCTTAAATGGCAAATGTGCGCGGCAGACTCAGCGCAGGTGGAAGCGAAATCACATCAAATAATAGCCAAAGGCCTCTGTAATGAGGCATACGAATACAGCCCAAATGAGCATCGAGTGTGCCTGTCCTCGCGCGTTATGCTTTCTCAATCGAGTCGCAGATCTCCATCCTCTGCATTGACTGTTTTCGGAAGACTTCCGTTTCGAGACGAGGATAACTCCAGGTCTATTTCCAAACACGCCGCGAGTACGGAGTAATACCCCGCTCATTTAAATGGGAGTTAATTTCTAGTGTCCTGATGCATTGGTCTCGCAATCAGCCACATGCAGAGCCATTTTCAGGTCTAGACGTGGACACGGCGCCACTACGTGTCTTCACAGTCATCGAGACGAATAACATTCTGGCCAATATTAAGCCATCTCGAAATGTGCATGATCCTCATCTTCGGACGTACACGCTTGTCAAATGATAGTCCTCTCATTTGCCAGAGTCTCCATGAATGAAACGGTACTCCCGGCTACCCTCTACTTCAGCTGAGCAGCAGAGTCAACATCCCTGTAGAAGCGGACGCATCTACTTGGTGGAACTGTCGATCACGAAGTCTTCGTTCAGCTGGGAGTATGCAGATTCCGTCATCGTCTTCTCGCACGCATTGATTCTTTACGACGATTCGCTCAGCCCACGGCTTGCTTCTATGAAAAGAACAACACAAGTGCAGTAAATCCGAGTGTACAGACAGATTCATCCGCAGTTTTATTCCCAGATCAACTATCATAATAACGTTTAGCAGCGTCGCTTACCAGTGTAAGCCAGAGTCCGAAATGTAGTCCCCGTTGATAGGGAGTCTGGTGTACCTTAACGTCATGGGTGACAGTTCACATAAAACGACGGAATCCGCTTCGAGTACTTCATTTCGAACGTAGAGAATTAGCGTAAGAATTACGATCAGTCGAGATTGGTGGAAAAGACCTGGCCATCGGCTTTTGGGAAGGAGAATAGTCGATATCCAAAAATTGCGTTCTTATCCCAAATTTGAGCTCATGAGCTTCGGTCTAACCCACCACAATTCCCCAGTAATCATTTGAAATATTTGGTGGAAACGAGGATATGCGCACCTCAGTAAAGAACCAGAGAGAATGGTGTGCACACGCCATCATACTCATCAGGAGTGGCGATGGCACGGGAGTACGGCCCTAAAGTACGTTTCAGGATAGCAATATGGGCTGGTATGGCTAGAATTTCTTTCTGCATGTATTGTTCAAGGCTCAAGTAACGCATGACGTTGAGACGATGGAGTTCTTCGATGTTCAAAGTGGCCAATATGAGTGTGGTAGATGTATGAATTGGACGTGCAGAGGGCAGAATACAGCCGGCCTCGGGCAGTCCAACCCCGTCCTCTTCCCTCTGCACCTGCTCGAAGCAGTTTCTTTCCAGTGAGCAGCAGATTTCACCTACATTACTTCTACCTTACTTGGTCATCCGCACATGCAGTCCTTCATTCGATATATGACAGACGATAATGTTCCTTGATAAATGACTCTCGAGTACTTCAAACTTGAACAACGAAGTCTGTCCACTTGCTCTTCAAGCGATTGGTGCACAGAAAGAAACCGCTTGCTCACACGACTGGCCATCCGCTAGAGAAATCAATTTTATTCCATCCAAAGCGCTTCTGGCCATCTGCATAGCCGATCGTGGTATCGACATAGTGGTAGTAAAGGATAGGGCCAAGGCTCGGGTCAGTGAAGACACCCCTGTGAAAAATCAGCGCTTTGAAACTTGTTAACTGATGGAGCGATGTGAATGAGAGACATACTGTCCACCAGGTCCGTATACGGTTCCGTGACTTTCGAGGACAACCGTGCCGCCACCATTCGTGCAAGCGACACCGCTAGCGTCAACCTAAGACAATATCAGCTTTACAACCTTCGAGGTCTCTTCCTGCGATTACTTACAAAATTACCAGTCGCTGAGGTAGACCGGCAGACTTTGATCTTATACTCTTGCCCGGATGCCGGCCTGGACGTGTCATAGCCGCAGCAGATCCCGGCAGAGAAAAAGAGATAGTAGTAACTGCCATACTTATACATGAATGCTCCTTCGACAGCGTGGGTTCCAGAGGGGTTATAGGCGATATTATAGGACGAGGATGTCACAGTCGTTGCGGCCGAGTTCATGGGTGCCTGATAGATGTCATGCCAGAAGGAGCCAAAGTTCATGTAATAGGTTCCCCCGTCGTTGAAGAGGTTGCCATCAATCGCATTGTACGGCTTTGAGGAACTGGACTGGATACCGGTCGAACCATGGTCGGTCCATGAGTTCAAGTCCATGGTTGAGGATGTTGCGAGACCGATGGCGGAGGATTGGGATCCAAAGGTTGAGACTGAATAATACACATGATAGACACCGTTGACGAGGGAGACATCCGGTGCCTATGCAGTTCGAGTCAGCCTTTACGCAAGAGGGACGCAGCATGTCGGGGGGCCTCGCATTATAGGCGAAGGGCATGGGGGTGGTCAGACAGGAAATCTGGGCTGGGTGGAATAAAATGAGATGCAGTCAACTGAGGAATTACTAACCCAAAGATCGTCTTTTCCAGCCAGGTTGATCGACGATCCGCTCGGCAATACGGAGCCTAGCACAGTCCATGGACCTTGAATGGAAGAGGATGACGCATAGGAGATCTTATTGCCAGTAGAGAATCGAAAGTACTTTCCGTCAGACTGTCTTCGAATCAGGGCAGGATCATGAACGTTACAAGCTCCGGAACATGACCCCGGGTTGGCATAGCCATGGGCCAAGGCTGCCAGGCAGGACGCTACAGCCACGAAAGCTGAGGGAGGCATGGTAACTGAACGAACTCTACTCGATCTCAAAATGGTGAGAAAAGAGGCATGATATGAGGAAAGTTTTCACTATATATATGCCTGCGATTTATTCAACCGCTGATACTGCTGACGGGTTCACGAAGCAAAAATGAACTATTTGCGCAAAACATTTGCCCGTTTCTGCTCCGGTGGGAGGATCTATCTACATTAGGCTCATTAGCTCTGTCACACTCGTCAAGATGGGTGGGTAGTAGTGGCTTATACTAATGGCACGGTGAGTTTCAGCTTCCCCTGGTCCCAGCAATCGCAGGGCAAGAGGAATCTCGGAAATTGTCCTTGGTGGTCTCCATCCTGCACTTCGGCATCCATAATGATCTCGATTTGGTGATTCTGCATGCATCACTTGGTACTGGCTACTTAGCATGCTAATCCCTGCAAATCAGCCGACATCTCCACGCTGCACTCTGCGGGATTTGCGGAGGAAAATGCGGGGTAACAGCTGGGATCCTTCATCCTGCTCTCTCATCGAAGTTCCTCGACGCATCCCGTTGGTTAGATATGCTGGTCTCATAATTCATTGAAGGACTGAAGTGCGATGACTTGCCGAGTATCGCGTTGCTGGAAAAATATATCTATCCAGATTCCGGTGGAGTTGCTGTTTCGGATTGTCTTAGCACTACTAGCTGCAACACGCAGTGGATACCCACCAATTGGGCATTCCTCGTGGAGTCTGACTGTCTAGAGCCGGGGCTGCCGGTAGTTAATCGGGATAACCATACGAATACGAAACTATCCCAGGTATTTCTTAGGCAAACGCCATTGTGGAACGTGGATTCAGCCAAAGATGCAAGTTTCGTCGCATTATGAATGATTCTTCCCTCTTGTCTTCACCCGAGCCAGAGTTCATGCATGCCAGAACGCTTCACGGAAAGATTTGCAACCCCTTGGCAGGGGATGTGTCTGAGTGCCGGACACAGTATCATCGTCCCTTTGCTAGTCCATTTGCCTCACCAATGGTCTGTTGGGCTTGCCTTCTTCTCAGGGCGAACAAGAAGACGATTTTACAAGGTTTGCACGGAAAAGAGGCGTGGACGGTGCTCTGGTAGCGCCATTTTTACTGCGGAGTGAAAATGAGGAGATCTCACGATTTGCTACTGCGACCTTCGGAGCACTTCTTCTACTTGGAGGCTAAGGACGCGTTCAACGAGTTAAGATCGCGAGCAAAGAATCGCTGGTGCTGCTGTATAAGCACATTGTCTTTTTTCTTTGTTTGGCAGGTAAGAGACTTGAATGCTCCTCGAGTTGAAAGGAGCCAGTCATACAAACTGAGAATATTGGCGGGGTTCATAGGAAATCAGCAGGTCGTGAGGAAATAAATTCCTCCTCTTTAACCCGTTCTGCGTTCTCTTCTCGCTCATAACGACTTTGAGATGGTCATATAACGCATGTCATTGAGCTCGGTGCTGTCCGGTTCTATTATACGTCGGGATCGCCGAGACAAATACTTGGAACCTAATTTTAAACCTCGCTCTTGAGCAATTGCCTTCATCACTAAGATCTCTGCTTCGATCCGTGCACGATCCTAAGCTTGTGTCCATTTCTACACTCCATTGAAGGAATGTGGATGTCTGACGGGGCTTGGATGTCTGACGGGGCTCGGAAATAGAAATGAGACAAGGGCTCCCAGACCTCTTGATTGAATTTGATGGTCAGGCAACAAAGCAACAAATACCGCAATGCGAATGGTGAAAGAGATCTTGCAAGTTGCGAGAACACTTTTGAGTTGATCCTCAAGGTTCTTCCGCTACTTCAGTTCATTGCTTTCCGGTGCCAGCTAGCCACTCCAGGGCAGCAGGCGTGCACGAGTTGTCCGGAAAATATTTCGGAAATGCTTCAGCAAATGACTAGATTTCTTGTCAGTTCAATAGTCCGAACCTGTCTCACAAGCGTTTGAACACACGATGCGGAGTAATGACAATGCAAATCAATCTTCCCAACTTGGTTTATCCCTTGATGCGCCATCTCATCTCCTTCTCCCATCCCTACGATGAAACGCAGGTACAATTTCGCCTCCGCGATGATCATAAGCTGCCCCTTGCAGTCCAAGGATTCTTCCCAGCCCGTCCTTTACCAACTTTATTCCAGTAGAAATCCCAGCTTTGCAACAGAGGCATCGATCAAGCAGGTTGACCCAGCGCGGGGCGTTTGAACGCACGAAGACCTCCGAGCCAAACCCCCGTCGAGCTTCCCAGCTTGCAGCAGGATGAAGCCCTTTCTCCAACAAATATCCCGTGCATTCCATGCTCATCACAATCACCCAAACGCATAAGCTTCCTCATCCCTTGCTCCAACGTGGTATGCCAATGCGTATTCGCTCTCGTTTTAGAAATCTTTCAGCGCAGGTCTGGCGTTACATGATACAATCCTGCTATGTGGTGTGGATGAGACCCAATGAATCAACTTTGCCCGTGCATGTATACTCTAGTCGGCCGCGTGCACACCCCCTTGACCACATCCCTTCCTCCTTCCAACTTCCGGTAGATATGGGGAGATAAAAAAAAAGGGTCCGCACCGATTGCCAGGATTGAGCACTGGACGGAGATAGGAAGCAACTCGGGCTTTCTGACAGATTTCCGTAATAACTGGATTCCAGTTCTCTGTCATTATGGAGGCTGTGATTGTGGTAAGATTCTCTTCGTCCTCACCTTTATGGATGTTTTTGTACTAACGAGTCGTCTCGCTGTAGGCATCGGTTCTTTGCGTTGCCTATGCCGTGTACTACGTATATTCTGATGCTTTGGCTGAAGTTCCCGGGCCCCGATTCGCCAAACTATGCCCAGTGAGTCAGGTCCTACGCAGCGTCGTCAAGGTCAGAATTAACAGATATAGTCATGGTTAATTCGCGTTCTTTGGTCGAACAAACTCAATCAAGGCATACGGGAGCAGCATCAGAAACATGGTAAGTCGTTGGTACCCTTTTCTTCCCTCTTAACTCTCATCTCGTTTCGCTCTCTCGGACAGACTGACCGAGGATAAAGGCGACGTCGTACGCCTCGGACCAAGTGAACTCTCCTTCTGCTCCCTCAGTGCCCACGATACCATCTATAACACAAACAGCACTTCCTTCATCACATATGGATCATTCCAGTCGGCTGTGGAGGGTCTCTGCCCACCGGGGGTCACCTTCGTCAGCCATCACAGCCCAGCAGAGCAGAAAGAATTGAGGAGAGTCTTCCAACCAGCCATCCGTCTCGCAGTCGCGGGCGGTCTGGAGGCCCACCACGAGAGACGATTCAGCGAGCTCGTCGCCGGGTTGAACATCAAACCTGGCGTGCCCATGTGTGTTAATCTCACCGGTCTCCTGGAGAAGTTGGAATGGGACCTCATAGGCGACTTGGGACTGGGATATGCCGTTCCGGACAGGCTGAAAGGTATCACCATGTGAAGACTATTCATCTCACCACCACATGCTAACCAGATGTGTTTTGTGGATAGATAACTGGACCAGCCAGAAAACTCACCAAAACCTGATCGGGGTTGCCTTCGCGCTGGGTTCGTTCCTTCTGAGCCGGCGCGGACTCAAGTTGCTCGTCGATAGCTTTGGTCCTTTCTGGATACCAAAATACCTTGACCCAGCGCACCTATTTGATGTTGCACTGAAGCAGTATGTCTGAAGGCCAAGCCCATGCTGATGGCCCACCGCTAACAGACGTACACAGGCGAGCCGAAGGCAAGAGCACCTTCGTTTCCCAAGCAATACCATATAAGAACGACAAGTACCCTTACTTGACCAAGCAGATGTCTAGCAATGTGACTGGTCTAATGTGAGCCGCAACCGCTTTCAGTCATCGAAGCAAAGTGCTAAGGGTTTTCAGTTATGCCGCTTTCGAAACATCCGAGTCCTCCACCCGAGCAATCTTATGCGCCCTTATGCAAGATCCTGTGCGCTACCGCACTCTACAACAGGAGATCCGGTCAAACTTCTCCGCCAGCAAACCCATCACCGACAGCCAACTCGTAGGGCTTCCGTACCTTACTGCCTGTATAAACGAGGGACTGCGACTCTGGCCCGGCCTGAACGGACAATTCACGAGTCGGGTTTCGACAGGCGCGGTGGTAGACGGGGTCTACGTTCCCCCTGGAGTACGTCGCATGAATTTCTTTTGTTTCGCGTTTCTTCTTGTTCTCGTACCGTTTTTCCTCGGACCCCGCAACTGACAGAAGCGAACGAATAGTGCTTAGTCTCGGCGGATCTGTACACTCTTCAGCGCCACCCGAGGTATTGGCACGACCCGGACACCTTCAAGCCCGAACGCTGGTTGGACCCCAAGAACCCAGATGAAATGCGCGCCTTCCGGCCGTTCTCCGCGGGGCCCCGCTCGTGCCCGGGCCGGCAGATCGCGCTGCAGAAGCTTCGGCTCACCCTCGCCAAATTCATGTTCCTGTTCGATATGCAGTTTGTCAATCCCCATTTCGAGTGGGACCGAGATGTGCCGTCGGGTCTTTTGTGGAGCTCGGTCGAGGTCATGGTGCGGATGTCGCTTCTGGAGCCGCCAGTGGAAGCCGTGGAAGCCGTGGAAGCCTGAGTCCGGTATATTTGTATCTCAGCAACAGCACATAGATTCGTTGCCGTCTAGGCTTGAAGTATGAAAGCATATAATGGCATGAGCCTGCTCATATCTTGCAGTAACCTATAATAATCCAGCCATTACCCTCGTCAACGCCTCATCCTCCGCTTGAAAGGCATCGAACCCCTCCGTCGCGGCATCAGGTACCAGTCCCTCCTCACACGCTCCCCCATTGCCCATCCGCGAATCGAAATAAAACCCACCCGCCATTTCAAAGAAACTAGTCAGGTCCTCACAGCTTGTCTCGTCCGCAAGAACCGTCGTCGGAGACGTCATGGAGCGCACGTACGCAGACCCCGGGTGCTGCAGCGTTGGGACACCCGACATGGGCGTCGGAGTATATGGCGACTTGCCATGAGTCCCCATCGACAATGGGGTCCCCGTAGCATCCAGCCCAAGCAGAGTGCGACGATTCGCTCCATCCTTCTGCACAGGCTCCCTGGGCCTCTGCGCCCCGAGATTCATCCAGATCATCTTCAAGCTCTTTATGATCTTCTGTAAGCGGCGGGAAGTGCGCGCGCGCGTCGACGACCGCCGCACCATGTCAACGGCGGCGTAGAACTCGGGCCGACAGACATGGCTGAACCGCGCAGGGGCATGCAGGACTGCCAGGAACAGCGCCGCCAATGCCGAGAGGAGGAAGTAATTGAAGGGTTCCGGGCGTTGGAAGTACAGCGGCGACACGCGGGAGAAAAAATCGAGCATATGGACTGTTCTTTTGGCTGTTTCGACGGCGGTCGAGGCGCCGGACACGTTGGATTCGATGCTCTCGCTGCTGAGGAGGTTCTGGCGGTAGACGAGGATGCGGAGTTGGTTTGCCTGGAGGGCGAGGAGGACTTGGAGCATCATCATGCTGTCTGTTTGCGTGTGGGGTTGGATCTGGGATTGTGGAGTAGCTGTAACTGTGGCAGCGCGGCCGACGCGCTCAGACTGGGTTGGCGACAGGGTTGGGTCGAAGCGCAGCTCTGGAGGAATAGACTGGATCCATTGCTGGACCTGAAAGTCGAGGTAGGAGCAGTAGTCTGCTGTTGCGGCTCGGGGCCTGTTGCGCCAGCCCACGACTAGGCCCCAGATCTTGGTGCTCAGACGCGCGTAGTTGATCATGCAGGTGAGGTAGGGGGTGCTTGTGCCGGGTTCGGGTAGATTGGTGTCCATGTCTGAGTCCTGGATGGCGAAGGGCAACCCCGTGCCGAAGGACCATTTGCGGTCGAGGACGTAGATGCACCAGAACAACCGGCTCGCATATTCGCATTGCAGCTCACCTGGGAACACGCCACCGGTCTTCTGCCAGGTCTCCTGGCAGTGTAGGCCGAGTTGCATTGCTCCTCGCACCGCCATGCCGATAAGCCGCCAGGAGATAACTTCGTCGTCGCGATAGGAATGGAAGATGGACTGTCTCATCAGCAGCCACCCAAAGATACATCAAGCAGAAATGACGGAAATACCAGCAAAGTCAAAATGAGCAACTCCTTCATATCCACCTCTGGGACCTTGAGCCGCGTCGCAAACCGATCTTCCACGCTGTCCGCCAGCAATGCTGCCCTCTCACTGCGGCCATGCGACTCGGCCAATAACGCCGTCGCCAGTAGAATCTTCACCACCTCAACATCCCTCGCGAAGAACCACTCCTGGTCCAGCGTAGCCGGTAAGCTCGATTCCACCCCATCTTTATCCCGGAAGTAGTCCGCAATGTATGTACGCACGCTTTCCAGATCGACGCAAGGGTACATCAACCCAACTGTATTCTCGTACACGTCGACAAGGCGGAGCGCCTCAGCAGAACCTAGACACCCCAGCGGATCGTCAGAAGAGATGTCGTCTCCGAGGGGGGCCGCCGGACTCTGCACCGCCGTCGAAACAAGGTCGTCACCGCTGTCAAAGTCCTCCGGCTGCCGTTGGCGCGCAGTCAGGCCAAACTCTGCACTCGTGGGACCGATGTAGGACGGTGACTGCGGACGGTTCATTATGCGGTGGAGCCCTGCAGCCGTTGACGATGGGGACACCGTTGAGATAGCCGTCGGGGTAGTGTTTGTCGTTGAGGAGGAGGAGGCTGATTCAAGTTGTCGCAGGCGAGCGGACATGGCTCGCATCTCGCGCTGCAGCGCCTCGATCTGACGGTCAACGGTACTCAGTCGGGTCGACACCCTGATCATCGTCAGCTTGTATCACTCAACGAAGCTGATGCAGCAAACCTCTCATCATCGACCTGCACCTCTGGTGACGAAAGTGTTCTATTGCTGATTGCATGTGCGTTGGAAACATAGACGCATTGAACATTGTCGCGGGCGCAACGCGAACACACCGGCTCTCCGCTACATTTCAGTTTCCGCCGCTTGCACTCGTTGCTGTGCAATCATTATCAGACGAGATATCACAATGAGCTGAAGACGGCGGGACACACCATGCTACCTGGGTGTACTTGGCTCGTTTCTTGCTCCGAGGCTGACCGGGAATGTCGGCACTCCGCTTAGGGGATTCCGAGCCCATAATCTGGCGCCTTAGCCGCTGTAACTGGTCTGATTTAAAGACCTATACCGCATCGGAACACTAGAAATCAATGCCGATGAAATCAAAAAGGGCTGATACTTGCCGCATGGTTGAAATAATATCAGGTGGAGGAGGCAACGATGGGTGTGGAAGAAACACAATTCCGCGTCTCGGGCGGACAGCGGAATTGACGCGGATTCAATAAGAGCCTTAGGCATCAAGCTTCATCTTATCAATTGAACTGATCAGTCTGACGGTCTGACTCCTTGATTAAAAAACTTTTATATATACAAGAGACACCGTAGGGCGTCCACCAGAGGATTTGCCTATGACTTGATGATCAAATCTACAGTCTCATAAATATCATGTATCGTAATCCTCCTGCAACAGTCTCAATCACAGCTGAGCGTCACGACAACATTCCTTTTGTACGACTCTCGACGCCGCGTTCCTGCTCGAGGGCACATCCAGAGAGGGATTGGCCGTGAAGAAATCCGCCGGCTTAATCATCAGTTGGAATATCTCGACAGGCCTTTTGGATGTTAGCACCGAGTCACTGGTTGAAAGGGGAGAATCATTACTCACATGACTGGCCAATCCTCGACACGAGGATTGTGCGTGATACCAAAAGTACTCCAGACCACAACATCAGTATCCACTACAGATTCGCCCCGTTTGACAGCGTCGGCCACTCCATCCACCTCCTGCTGGCTCTGAAGCGTGTATCGACCTCCCGCATACAGCTCACCATCGCGATGCTTTGTCACCCACACGTGGTGCTGTGCAAACTGCGCTCGCTTGGCTTGGACGGAGTTGGGATCCGCCAGTAACAGTTGGGTCGCCAGCGGAATGAACTTGTAACCGACAGGGTGACCACTGATGGGGTTCTTCTTATGAGGATTGATCATCTTGATGGTACGGTTCAGTTCCGGAGCCGCGTCGAGGTAGCACGCCCGCTCAAGCGTCTGTTGAGTGACCTTGTAGAAATTACCCTTTGGGTTGGTGACATCGTTCATGGGTACTGGATGAGATTCCTCGACCACGACGGAATTATTTGGTCCATCAATTGCGGGGTCCATACGGACACAGAAGATGTGCTGATGGTTCTGGGCCAAGACACCTCCGCTAACTACGTTACCGTAATCGCTGACCTTGCCCGGGTCGATGTTGACGACGTTCAGAATGCCTGTCGCGCGGGACTCGACTGTAATGCCGCCAGATTGATCGAACTTGTAGGCGAAGATGTACTCGTAGTTTGCCAGCGTAATGATGAATTGCACGACCAGTTCGCGGTTGCGGGTGACCACAGCACGGCCTGTCCTCCAGTTGGAGTGCTTCCAACCGATACCGTTGTCCTGTTCATGCAGGCAGATGGCATTGGGCAATTTCTTCGCACTGCCGTCTGGTCCTGTAACGATGGCATCAAAGTATTTGATGACACCCAGGCAGTCACAGCCAATGGAAAGGTTGTTGGCCATGTTACCGCCACCACCATCGCCAAAGTCGAAAGCCTGTTTGCGGTGGAAGGGAGGACGAGGGTCTGCATAGGGAACAGTCTAAATTCCGGTCAGTCAAAATGTCCCAACAATTCCTCTGAGAATAACCCTACCATCTCGCTGATTGACAGTCGGTGCATCACGCTACGGCCATCGTACCAGACATCGTGAATAGTCGCGCCCTCGCGAGGATTAAAACCAACACGGAAACTCCACTTCTGCCACTCGACCAAGGACTCGTTTGTGATGCGAAAAGACGGGCCCTCAGGCTGCACTACGTTCAGGGGCTTCAAATCCCGCCGAGTGCCGTCTGGCAGAAGCTCCGGCACGTAGTCGGAAGCCTTGCAGTGCCCGATAATGTCACGCTTGAAGGTTTGCTCGGTCAAGCCATCTCCCTTGCCGCCGGTAGCCGGACGATCCACTCGAATGATTTCTTGGGTATGCGCATCCATCACAGGGATCAATGGCAGAGGATAGGAGTAGAAGTTCGCATCCGGGTTATTCTTGCTCTTGTCGGTAGCAAAACAGAGACCCTGGAAGTACCGCCGATTCTCATCAGTGTCGTCCAAGCCACCATAGGGCCATGGCTCGATTGTGACCTCAAATCCCGGCGGCAGGTCGAAATCTTCCAGGGCTTTCTTGAATAAGGGTGAGGTAAAACATCGCTCAACGAGGTTCTCGAACTCGCTCCTGTAATATTGACATTAGCGGGTATTTGCCTTTCTGAGACATGTATTTCAACACACATAGTAATCGAAGCATGATGTTGCTTTCCGACAATGTGGTGCTTGACACGCTTGCGGGCGACCACGTCGACAACGGATTCATGAAAGGAGGGGATGCGGTCGGCTCCAATCACATCATATTGGCAAGTAGCGAGGCGAGGAGGTCGAGGGGTGGTTGGGCTCAGACGACCAGCGTGCTCAAGAGCAAGGAACTCGCGCAGCTGGTCCTTGGGAGGTTCCAACAAGTAGATCTCACGGAAGTCAATGACCGTGTTGGGATGCTCTGCAATGACGACATCGCGCGCAAGGTTAGTCTCCGCTTCGGAGAGGATTGCTAGAGGGTGAGGAGCCATTGACGGGAGGGACTGAATGATGAAAAAAACAAATTCATCGAAAGATGAAACATTGAAGATGAAGCAGCGAAGTTGAAGCCATTTTGTACTACCCGGGCGTATTTCTTGCCTGATTGGGATGTGAGGGGAGGCCAAAGAATACCGGAGCGTCGGAACCTCGGAATAGGTTCATGACGGAAGCTTTCCGTGCCCTGTTTTGTGATTGGTCGATAATGGGCGGGGTGGATGGCCCCGCCTGGGGAACACCTAACCATTTTCGGGATACGACACGCGATCGGGCTATTGGCTATTGCACCTATCAATGTGATATATCACAGTTGAGAGAGACATGGATTAAAACCGGTCGAGATATCCTTCATGGAACTAAGTCAATTGACAGATGGTGAATTTGTCCTTGGTTAACTTCAAACTCAAGCATGTGATTAGGGCTAGATTAAGAGTGGTCCTCTGGCCATCCGAGGCACGCAGCATATACTTCTAAGGACATTGTCAACAAACCATCGAGGATTTCTGCACCTGATACCGAACTAGCTTCATCCAGAAAATACATATCGTGAAGTAGGTTAGACTATCTATTCAGTCTCGCCTTTACCCCGATGGGCCTCTCGCAACGGTTTGCTTCCTGCTAGTGCTCAGTCTTCTGAGCATCCCAGGCCACCAGCCATCAGGAAATCATGATTCTAGATGGCTAAACTTTGCACACCATGCCACATGATATGCAAGATGCAGTAATTTAGTAGAGGCATAGGTATATAACAAATATTATGGCCATAATAAGTAGTTTAATAATTGTTAACCACTCAAATAATGCATGCACAGGAGACTTGTTTGTGCTGAGAAAATTCTATCGGCACTATTATTCTAACTAGCCCTTTCCGCGCAACTGCCTAGACTTGAAGGTATCTATTAAATAGCATATATTGACAGAACTTATGATGAATTAGTATTGTTTGAAATGTCATGAGCGTCTTGGAGTGGTTAGATAGGGCAGCAGGGACTTATGGCTTATTCGCATTGGTCTTCAAGTCCTAACTGTTTGTATCTCTTATCTACTAGTTATCGTATACAGACATATGGACATTTTTGAATAGGATTCTATGAAGTACATGTGGGTTGAATATCACCCGCAGCCTGTATAATTAGAGTGCCTTCTAGTAGGGTGCAAACCTAATATCTACTAAATCACCATAGCAGCCCCCTATGGTTATAGTAGTAATTATATAGCCACAGGAGACTATTTAAATTGTCTATATTCTGCCTGCCTCTATACCCAAGGACGACGACAGAAACAGATATAGCGGGGGGAAACGGGCATTGAGGAAGAGGATTGCAGCAGAAGTGATGGGGTTGCTAACTTCATTATGGCCATCAAAGATATAGCCAGACGAATAATGATCCAGATGATAGGACTGAATGTTCCATTCTCTGCTCACTGTGTGGTGCTTTCTTAGAGTCTTATGGGCTAGGACAACTATATATCATCGAACTTCTGATGCCCACTTTCAAAACTTCCACTTAGCCCAAATTAGCAGCTTGTCTGTAATGTTTATCTACAATCTATTACATTGAAGGATTATGATAGCTAATTTCTTGGCCATAATGATAATGTCCAACCGATTGCAAGCCTCTGAGAACATGGCTCAATTGTTGTTTGTGTTGGCTGCACCACGTGGAAGATGTAGCATTTTTAGTGGACGCAGATCATCCAACAGAGTTATGTTTCCCGCTTCAACTTGGTCCCCAGCAACAACTGAAGGATCTTCGATCTTCTCGGAACGCAACAGCTCATGTATAAATAATGCGGATATGGAGTGTCTATGATGATCATACCGTCTCACTCTACGAAGCTCTAGTCAACATGCTATCATTAGGCTTGACGCTTTTGTTCTCAGGGACGGCAACCCTTGCCTCCCGGGACACCTTCTATCCGCCTCTGAACCACAGCACATTCATCACCAACACCTCCTACGGCACTTATGGCGGCATCTACACTGCTCCTGCCGATAGTGCTAGCTCACCGTCCGCCGATGATGTCTACAATTACTGTTCCATGCCTCATCCGCGCGGAGAGACCTACTCTCTGCCGCCCCCTGTTGCAAATCATTCAATCAAGGCTAAGCTGGTATACCTTGAATACTTGCAGCGTCACCAACGGCGGACTCCTTACAACATCCTTCCTGGAGGAGAGGTAATTTACTTTTTTCCAATTGCGCCGATCGGTCGCTAACTCCGTCCAGGATCAAGAATACAACTGCGACAATATCGATCCGCACGTCTACGCCGCGCCAGCTTCGCAGCACCCACAACCAGTCGCTGTCTATGGTCAAGCTTACTCAGATCCGTCCAACCCGTATCTTACCACCTATGTTAATGGGTCCTGCCAGTACCCCCAACTCACTCTGGGAGGCTTGCTCGACGGCTACGAGCACGGCCGTGATCTCCGGGCCGTCTACGGCCGCCGGCTAGGCCTGATCCCCTCAAACCCAGACCAGAAGAAAGTCTGGTTCCGCTCCAGCTCTTCGACCCTGACGCAGGGATCCGCCGGCGCCGTCCTACGCGGCCTCTGGCCGGAGTACCACGAGCCGATTCCAGTGCACCAGCAAGCCTCCGCCGTCGACACAGTCAACCGGGGATTCCCCTGCTCCGCGCGCAACACCCTCCTATCCGCGATTCAATCCACTGCCGAATGGAACGAGCATCTCACAGTCACGCAGGCCCTCCGTGACAAACTCGCAACCATGTTCGACGCGCAGGACGAGCCCGCCTGGATCTCGAACTTTGACCACTTCGCGGACAATTTCCAGGCCCGCCTGTGTAATGGGTACAGGCTGCCGTGCCGCGTCCAGGACCGGACACAGTGTGTGGCCGCGGCCCAAGCAGACGAGGTCTTCCGCGCCGGTGACTGGGAGTATAATTACATGTGGCGGCGCAGCGCGAACGCGACACAGTACATCCAGGTCATCGAGGGTTTGTTTATTGGGGAGATAGTACGGAAGCTTGAGGCAGTTGCGGAGGGCGCATCGAAGCTGGTGTATAGCCATAACTTTGTGCATGACGGGGATATCTCCCCTATTCTGGGCGCGCTGGGGATCACAGTGATGCGGTGGCCGGGGATGGGCTCGAATATCGCTTTTGAAGTTTGGTAAGTTCGTCTCCTCATTTACTTGGGTCTAATATCGGTTTCTGACGAAACCAGGAAAACGTCTACTTCGGAATACTTCGCCCGCGTCCTGTACAGCGGCCACGCCATTGAAACAATTCATGGGCGGCTGGACTGGATCCCACTGTCGAAACTGCTGGATATCCTACGTCCTTTTGTCCCGGAAGATATCAAATCAATGTGTAATTAATTGAATAAATTCGTATATAATAGTTGCTTTGAAAACCAAAAGTCAATTGTGACGTCTCTCAGAATAATACGATTGGACGCGATACATCATACGCCCTGCCGACTATTTTATTGATAGTAGGTAGACTCTGCTTGTGCATTTACATTGCCTCTTGGCAGTGACGAATTATTAGTAAATCTCATAGCCACTCGCGAACGTTGTACGAATCATCTCGATCTCCAAGTGTACGACAATGATTCCATAGCACTCTGCTTTTTGCGAGCGCCTTATACCCAATTCTACAAATGAAAATGGACGGAATTCTCCGCGCTTATCCTGACGTATGGAGATCTAGCGTCTACGCGAGTCTTTACTGACAGCCTTTGCAGCCGGCGAGTCGAGCTGTAGAGAGGGCCTTTCCACTGCATCGAGCTGGCCTCCATTCTCTCTCCGATGAATCGCTCGCTGCCCATCTCGACTTCGCCACGGTCCTTTTCGACCTAGGTCAAAAGACCGTGGTGCGACTCTCAAAAGACCTAGGTTTGAAAGGCGGCGGTAACGTGCTTCCCTGCGAGGCAGAAGTCCTTAGAATTGTCGCCTCAAAGCCCGGCATCCGGGCTCCACGCGTCCATCGCTCGTTCCAAGTCGCAGACGACACGAGATACTTCTGCACGATGGAATATACCGTGGTGGATTACATCAACGTACGTTCAACCTCTCGATAGCTGTCCGGAAGGCCTCAGCAATGAACAGAAGCTGGACATTTCAAGACAGGCTGTCCAAAATATACTCAAAATGCAGTCTGTTAAATTACCAGAGCCAGGGCCAATTGGCAGGGGACCATGTCGCGGTCAATTCTTCACCCATTACAGTGCGGGTCCAGTCATAAGCAGCGCTGAGTTCGAAGGCTGGATTATTTCATAAGCTGGAGATTTGTAAGAAGTACAATCAGGCTCCGCAGGATATCTCCGACTTCAGGTTGGCCGAATCCGTCCTTACCCATCGAGACATTAGCCCTCAGGATCTTATATTGGATCAAGATGAACAGGTACGGCTTGTGGACTAGGCGGACGCAGGAGCATACCCTCCAGCGGTTGAAGGTGCAGCACTGGCCTTCCAGATGAGTTTTCCAGACTTTAGTGCCATGGTGCTGTCATTTCTGCCACGGTATCCTGAGGAAGAAAGACAATTGCATTCTATTGGATATGGAATATCAACAGCTGCGCTGGCTTGATAAGGGAATGGCCACTGAAACTGGACGAGGTACGCCCACTCTTCGAAAACAGAGCAGTGGGGTTAATGCAAGTAGACAAGGCCCAAATAGCCAACCATCTACCTGGATAATACACCTTCACTCCTCACAACAGTAGCAATACTGCCCGTCCGAACAGCACTGCGGAAACTCTCCATGACAGCAAACAGCATGCGAGCATGGAGACGAGCAGCGGTAGCAATCTAGGTAGCATTCGTCAGTTACGTCGATCATTCGTCGGTTGCTTCAACTTACGGCGGTCGTCTATTCCTAGGACGGTCTGTTCTAAGTTCAAGGCAGGGGTCCTCTTCGCGTCTGCGGGAGCCTTTTTTATTTCTCCTGTTTACTTCAATCAATACCGTCTGATGAACCAGAGAATGGTAACCTTACGCGCAGAATTGTGGTGTTCTGCCTGGGCGGCGAAAAGGTACAGGAACATCGCAGAGATGTAGACAGGCTTCATTATGAGAATAGATGGGTTTGATGGGTTTCTCTTTTCCCTCAGGTCAAGATCCCAAGAGTACAGAATTTATGTAGGTTTCGAGCGACATGCTTTTGTGTTCAGATGAGATTGTCATCTGCCACTGTACATATCTGTGTCATATGGCGGGCTGGATGTACATCAGCTGATTGGTCCTTAACAATTGCGGGTTTGTAAGAATTGGGAAGAGTAGATCAGTCGTATAGGCAATATTCAAGGTTGCTGCATAATATTAGACATCGTATCAGACGATGTATATTTGTCTTTGTTCTGTTCATAAGATACGATCATAGCACTTTCTAAACGAAAGCGAGAATGATGGAATTCAAGGACGACAAGAAGCTCTCTCATCAAAACGTTGCTCTGATGAAAGGTCCATGAGACCAAGGTAAAGGAGCCCTTGCCTATGCTCTTTGTAGGTAACTGTGAATTAATAGCTCGCATAGAGGCCAGTACAGCAATCTTTGACTATCTATCTTCTTCAAAGATGGCTGATTTTGGTTAGTGTTCAATGCAACCAATATGATAGTAAGCAAGCACTGAATCGGTTATCGATGACATTTGGGTCCGATTCCTTGGTTGCCGGTCCTCTAATCTTGATGTCGGGTATGAAGATGGTACAAGGAAGCTCTTCGTTAATTCAATCAGAGATTCGGAATACTCGTAAAAATGACACCTGAGGCAATCAAAGTAAGCACTCCACATTTGTGTCATGTGGGGAGCTTACTCAATAGGCAGGCGGTGGGAGTTTATTAGTGCCTGACTTCAAATCATGTGATTTTCAACGGTCTGCAAGAGTAAAAGGGACGTCAGGTACGAGAATAATAATGGCAGGGCCGCGGAAGCATGCCATTTCTGTCCCTGAGTACCTAGCTCAAGTCTTATTAGAAGATCTGCAAGTATTTTCGTGTCTATTTCCATGAACTCATCCTGGCGAAAATGAATAATTGCCTCCATAACTCGTCTCAGGATGATGAAATAGCTATAGGCTCCTGAACTAACAGCTCCCCTCGAATCAATTTGCTCCAAGAGGGACACAAAATGGACTTGTCATTGACCCAAGGGGATTACTTTTTGCCATGTTTGCATGCGTTATTAACTTGGTTATCATATTCGAAACCAGGAAAATGAACAGCCTCCTTTATGATTGGGTCGATTGGAGAATTAGTTATCACTTCCGCTTGATTATAAATGCTTATCCGCCATCTTCCACTGCTGGCAGAATCGAGTCTTTATCACCTTTGGCAGCAAAAATATACCAATTGTCAATATCCATGGGCACGAACACTCTACTATCGTTGCCTTCGAAACATCCCACATTCAGAGAGCATCATGGTGGCTGACCAGCAAAGAGACGCAGTGCCCTCCGAGGCCACACCGTTGATAGAGCATCCGCTCACGGATCATGATGCAACGCGGATATCGCCTTCATTTATCAGAGGAGCGGTCATCACTATCACCGTGGGCCTGTTGCTATTCATTCAAAGTAAATAAATTTGCCATTTCGAGGTCGTTCACGAAAACCACTAACAAAATGCCATTGCAGCCACGAACATATCAATGTTGACCACGGCTCAATCGGACATCGCAGAAGATTTCGACGCCTTTTCGGAAACGACGTGGTTCAGCTCAGCATACCTGGTACGTTTATTCAATGTCCTTCAGAGCTGTCCATCACATGCCAGTCGGCTCATTAGTGCCTCGCATAAAGATCGCAATGTCCAGTGTCGCTCCTTTAGCAGGACGTCTCTGTCAGATCTTCACAGCCCGTAATTACACTCTTTTCTCTGTGGCTATATTAGCTGTTGGGCTCTTTGTTACTGCCGCATCCCCAAGCCTGCCGGTTTTCCTTTTTGGACGTGCACTATCTGGCTGTGGCAGTGCGGGTGTTATGGTCACCTCCTTCATCTTCATCCTCGACCTTGCAAGCAAGAAGAGAAGAGGTCTCTTCATTGGCTTGTTGAATGTCGGAGTGACGACAGGAATCTCATGCGGTGCGCTACTTGCCGGATTGCTGACGCCAGTCTTCGGATGGGTATGCCGTCCTTCATTCGATCATTGGAAAGGATACTGAGCTAACCCAAGAACTAGCGCCTGATCTTCTGGGTTCAAGCACCTGCTTCTTTGATTCTGGGGTTGATCTTGTTCCGCGCTGTTCCCAGCCCTAAGAATACTTCCATGAGTCTGCAGGGCAGTTCTCCCTGGCAAAGTCTAGCCAAAGTCGATTATGCGGGTGCCTTGACTCTGGTAAGACTACCAAGTTTTGATTGACGACAGAGCTTGAGGATTAACCAATCTTCCAGGCGACTTCGGTATTTCTGCTGCTTTTCAGCCTTGCGTCGCCAAACTCAACCGTCACAATCACACCTCTGGTCTTGAGCTTCGTCGCTTTCGCCGTTTTCCTTCTTATTGAGTCGAAGTTTACATCAGAGCCGATAATCCCGCTTGAAGTACTCAAAGCAAGAAGCATACTGGCTACCTGCCTAGCAGCTCTAATCTCGATGATGGCCCGCTGGTCTGTGCTTTTTTTCACGCCAGTGTATGCAATGGCGGTTCGACAATGGTCTCCCGCCTCGGGAGGGTTGATCCTAGTTCCAACGAACGCAGGCTTCGGCCTTGGAGGCCTGTTGGTCGGATGGATCCATATTCGCAAGACGAGCAGTTACTACATGTGGGTGTTGTTGCAATTGATCCGAACGGTCTCAAAACTGACCCCTCATGCTGTAGCTCGACGCTGATAGTGTTCCTGCTCTTTGCGTTAACGAACTTTATACTGGCCCTACTATCGACACCCTCTTCGCCTACCATTGCCTACGTCGTCTCAACCTTTTTTAATGGCCTTTTCATTGGCGCTTCGATGAATTATGCATTGTCTCATATGCTACACCTTACCGATCCAAACGTGCACTACATTGTGACCTCCCTATTAGGCATGTTCCGTGGTTCTGCTGGAAGCTTTGGATCGGCCATTGGCGGCGGCTTCTTCCAGCGAGAGCTGAAGAAGGCACTTGAGAAGGGATTTGGCGATCACGGACTTTCTGGGAAAGAAGACCTTGTTCGTAAACTTTTGGGGAGCCCCGCCTTGGTGAGAAACCTGAGTGGACTTGAGAAAGAGGTGGCCACTCAAAGCTATGAGCAAGCAGTCAGGGTTTTGATCTTGGGCGGCTGTGTTCTGGCTCTAGTAGCGACAATCATCCAAGCATGTACAGGCTGGAGAGCACCTCATGAGGTCGAGAAAGATGTCCAAGATCATCTGGAGGATAGACTCGATAGGGAATAATAGACTGTCCCAAACTTTATATGAATCATTTGCAATCTATATGTCCATCTTGATGCCTTCTACAATATCGAGTATCTTATGCTCGTCGAATTAACTCTTGGTGAAGACGAAAAGGACATAGTTGTGTAATAACCAATCTATATACACAGCTTCCGCAAAGACTGTGGAACCCGTGATTTGAATTCAACTTCACCACAAGGGCTTCCCTGTCCGTTACATGTTAGACTTGGTGGCCTTTTGAGAAGCATAGCCAATGCGGCTATAAGTCTGGCCCAGGGCGTATCCCACTTGCATCACGCCCACTCAATCAAAAGTACATCTAAATTGCGCATGTCTTCAGGTCCTCCAACGCTCGCCACAGCTCCTCAATACAGTTCTAGTAACGTTTTCTATGTTGTACATGCGGAACATGCTCAACATGGTCATCTAGGTCACAGCGGAGATGTTTACAGAGCAGGAGCTATACCCAAATAAGCGGGCTAAACCCAATCCAGTAATTCACGGCCTTCAAAGAATTGGTGCCTTGGTGCCTGAGTCCCGTTGAGTCTTGGCACTCCAGTGTGGACCTTCGATAGAAACTCACAACTTTGCGAGATCTCACATTCCTTTGATCCAGTTCGATACAGCCTAAGAACCTGTATTTGCGTACCTTAGACAATCATCGCAATAATCGAAAGAAATTTCCATCATGCCCCGTGCAATCAAAGGTGCGCCGGTCGTCGAACCCCTATGGTGGTTGACTGTTGACTGTATCTGACCGATATCGTACGACAGGAGTGCTCATCGAGTGCGATCCGTCCGTCAAAGCCATCATACTGAAGTATGACGAAGAAAGTCACGACTACATCGTGGAGGATCTAGACGATGACCGCCATCTGGTCATCAAGGAAAGCCAGCTACAAAATTTGAAGGAAAGGCTAGGACGGGTAGGGATACCGAAAGTTCTTCACTGCGATGGGTGCGCTAATATCCGGATAGGAGCTTGATGAGAAAGTAATGCAGCCCGAAGAATCAGAATCCGAGTAGAGGAACGACGGGACGACGTCATCCAAACTGCCGAAGCAACGATACGATCTCCTGGACTTTTGAGCGCATCAGTATGATCATTGGCCGTTGATACTCGTCGTCTTCGACGGGACGTTCGAAGAACTATTCCCTGAGTATTCTACGGTCGCGACGAGCATGCTCTTCGAAAGGAGCAGTACCAGTACTGCGAAAATGATATCGAAGAATTCGGCCGAAATCTACGTTGTCCACAATGTGATTTCACTGTGAAATCACGCAGCATAATCCTTGCAATACGGCGTGTTGCAAAATGCATTTGTGGTGTGACAGGGAGCCAATAATCTCTATCAATTCCATGTTATGGTGTGATGCAGGTTTGGATGTCTGGTGGCGAATTCAGAGTGTAGCCAGAACCTACGATGGAGGAACACATTGTGGGGGAGAATCATGCAATGAGTTAACAACCTGTATGACAGCTCATCAGACGAATGAACTGTGACCGATCTAGGACGTTCCATGGACAGCATCTCGTCAAAGGCATGGAATGCTTCGAAGCTTCTCCAAGCTGCCTGAAGCTCCTCCGTGAAGTTCATGTGGAGAGACCCCTTCGATCACGTGACTGTCGAATCTCCGCGAATCATCGAGTGCAGTCCAGCTATGTCCAGTCGACAATGCTCGATGATTCGTGATGCATCAAGCAGCATCCAGGGCTCTCGAGCAACACTTCTGAAGTCATCAGCATAGGATCATGGGAGATTCTCGAACCATGGTTCTGGGGTATATAGGGACCTTCAACACCTCGTCTACTCGAGGTTCAGTTCACCAGATCAGAACACAAGTATCACGATAACAACACGCTCACATCAACTACAACAACACTTCTTCAACGATATCGACTCGTTAACAACCTCATCACACACATTCAAAATGTCTCTCTTCCACACCTTCCACACTCCTGGCGACTTCGCCCCTCTCTTCCGCCTCCTGGACGACTACGATGTCCACCGGTCGACCAGAGGCCAGGCTTCCTCTGTGCGCTCCTTTGCGCCCCGCTTTGATGTTCGCGAAACCAACGATGCCTACCTTCTGGACGGCGAGCTTCCCGGCATTGCCCAGAAGGACATTGACATTGAGTTCTCCGACAACGAGACTCTCGTGATCAAGGGCCGCAGCGAGCGCGAATACCACTCCGGAACTCCCGAGCAAACCACCCAGGAGTCCTCTGACGACAAGCAGAAGGAGAAGGAGAGTACCGAAATGGTCAAGTCCGGTGACAAGCAAGTCAGCAAGAACGACAACAAGAAGCACCGCTACTGGGTGAGCGAACGCTCGGTCGGCGAGTTCCACCGCACCTTCCAGTTCCCGACTCCCGTCGACCACGACAACGTCAAGGCCAGTCTCAAGAACGGCATTCTGTCCATCGTTGTGCCGAAGAAGGTCGTCAACACTGGCGCCAAGAAGATTACCATCGAGTAAATGGTCGACGACTGGAACCATTCGGATACGAGCATGATGTGACGATGTGACGATACTTGCATACCTCCTTGTCTTTCCTTTGCATTCGCCGAGTTGATTCGAACAGTTTTTCGATAGCATGATGTTTCCGGTGCAAGCGCTTTTCAAGTCTGTCCTTTCCTGCATACTCAGTGTACTATGTCAGACAATAATTAAAATTTAATTATTCTCATTTCAAACTGAATCTTCTCACAATCGTAGTTCCTAGTATGTAGATGCATTGAGTGGAGTTATCGTACTATTATACAGAAGTAACTGAGGAGAGTATTAACACAAGTATGCAATAGCCCATGCACCTGGCACGCACTATCGCTGAAGAGCGTAGACATCATTCAAGAATTGCACCGCCTCCTCGAATATCTGGTCCCTGAGCTTCGTGTCGATAAATATTGACGGAACTAGTAAGTCACATTTAGTTCAGTCCAACATATCAGGAATGCAGAGTCATACTTTCCAACCACCCGTGTATCTGACCTTCGTCGAACCTGCTCTCAATGCGGTAAGGTTGCATGCGCGCTTCGGGCGAGTCCTGCTGATCAGCCAAGCCTCGATTGATGGCCGCAGCCTCCTCTTTCAACCTCTTCACGAACACAGTCTGCTCATGCAGCAGAATATCCATTTTGGGAACCACGAACATCATATTCCGGGGCAGGCACTCAATCTCCGCCAGGATAGGATGAAGTAGCGGATTAGTTAAATTCTTCTCCCGTCCTGGTCCTGCGTACGCGTCCATCAGCGGCTGCAAGAAGGCCAGGGGGTCTTTCTCTGGGAATCCAGCCGGCCGAGGTTTCTCCCACGGTGGGAGCCGCAGGTCAATCTAACAATAACCTCAGGCGTTAATACGTTTGATGGAGACGCTGAATAAGATATATACGGACCGGTGCATAGAACGTCACTGATGCCTTGATACTGAACTCTGTATGCGCCAGCCGCTGCGCAACGCCTAGTGCGAGATTCCCGCCAGCGGAGGACCCGCACACACTCATCGATCTCGGATTCGCGCCCCAAAGCCGCTCGGCGTTCTCGATCAACCACTCCGCGACGTCTTGGACGTCTTCATGGGCGTTTGGAAAGGTGTAGCGCGGCGCATACCGGTAGGAAGTAGACACGACAATCGCTCCGGTTTCGTGGGCGACTTTCTGACAGAATGACGTCTGGCCTTCTGGGAGACCACCTAGGAATCCGCCGCCGTGGATGTTGAGATGGAGAGCTCTGGATCCAATTTGGTTTTGTGTGCTTGGGTGATAGACGATGGCGCGGACTGAGTGGCCTGGCGCTCGCTTGAGGGGGATCCAGATGACAGTGCGGCGGCCTTTCGTGAAGACACTGGGGAGATATTGGATTGTGTTGGAGAGTAGTACGATCGGCTGGAAAGCCAAGAGACGCCAGCGAAAAGTGGGGGGTAATGATGGACAGAAGATAGCGTCGAAGAGAGGACCAAACCAGCTGTTTAGAAATGACATGTTTATCTTGGTTGATGAGAGCAAGTGCGCTGAACTGGGAGAAGAGGTTGTGCTCGTATTTTCGCTGCTGCATTCATGCCACGTGAGTAGTCATCTCAAAGGCCTTGTTCGTTCATCTTCTCTTCGCAACGCCATTTACTAAATCAATAGATTATATGACCAGGGTGGTGTTGTCTTCAAAATAGTCAAAGTACCTCTCTGTGCTAGAACCCCGCTGTGAAGGCAAGGAGACCCTAGAGGCATGGTAGGTGCGATCATTTGTTGTCAGGCCAGGTTCATCCCTGGTATAAATTTACCCAGCCATTTTGGAGAGAGATAACTCCATTGATGCAGTCATACTGGGAATCTTGAAGTATCATAGTGTTCACTGTCTCTAGTTGTCCGAGAGAATTGGATTGTGAGGTTGCAGCGCAGAATATATATACGCAAGATCCGAACTTCAGCTTCACCTTACTTCTTCCTCTGCTTCTAAACCCTTCTGGGTTATATATTTTCCTTTCGGTTTGTATATGTAGATAAGTTTTATACCACCCGCGATCATATAATCGGAAAATGCTGGCCTCTTTAGATCAATTGAACTTCAGGATGTCTCATCGCTTATCTGATCGGACCGAGGCACGTGAAGCCACCGCCAGAGAGCATCACCAACCCGTTTTCCATCCATCTTCTAGGATTCAAATTTATATATAATTCGTATTGTTCGTGCCAGAGGCCTTGCTGTGTTCTATGAACTCTTAAGTTTTCTCGTTGTTCATCATTATCCCAGTGCTCGGCTATATAGGACGGTGATCAAGTTACCGAGGTCCACCCAGCTTCTACCCCAGATATCCAACTTAACATCAGAACACCAGAACAGAGAAGCTCCACGACATTGCGAGTCGGACTCAGACCAGAATCATATCACCATGGCAGAAAACGACTACCAATCATTCAAGCACTTCATCATCCGGTTTCCAGCCGAACATCAATATGTCGCCCACGTGGAGATAAACCGCCCGGATAAGATGAATGCCTTCTTCGAGGCGTAAGTCGCTAATGCTTATCTGTTCCTTGGGTTATTCTTCACTTGAAATAATATCCGAACTAACAGAAAGCAGAATGTGGATTGAGCTGGGTCAAATCTTCGACCGTCTCTCGCAAGACCCCTCCGTCCGCGCCATCGTCCTCAGCGGCGCAGGCGAGAAAGCCTTCACCGCAGGCCTAGACGTCACCGCCGCATCGCAGGGCCTCCTGTCCGCGGACGGCGACCAGGCAGTCGATCCAGCGCGCAAAGCGGCCCATCTCCGCCGTCATATCGTCTCCTTCCAGGACTGCATTACGGCCGTCGAGCGCTGCGAGAAGCCCGTCGTCGTCGCTATGCACGGCTTCTCGCTTGGGCTGGCGGTTGATCTGTCGACGGCGGCGGATGTTCGTGTTTGTGCGCGCGGCACCAAGTTCGCCGTCAAGGAGGTGGATATTGGCCTTGCGGCGGATATTGGGACGTTGAGCCGGTTGCCCAAGGTGGTTGGGAGCTTTGGGTGGGTGAAGGAGGTGGCGCTGACGGCGAGGGTGTTTGGGGCGGAGGAGGCGCTGCGCGTTGGGTTTGTGAATCGGGTGTTTGAGAGTAAGGAGGCGGCTGTGCAGGGGGCGCTGGAGATGGCTGCATTGATGGCGACGAAGAGTCCGGTCGCGGTGCAGGGGACGAAGGAGATCCTGAATTACTCGAGGGATCACTCTGTGCAGGACGGTAAGTGTTCTACTCCCCCTCATTCATCTACGCGTGGTTAAGCAATATGCCGTCGGCTGACACACTGCAGGTCTCAGATATACTGCTGTTTGGAATAGTGCCATGCTGCAGACCAAGGATGTTTCGGCTGCGCTGCTATCTGGACTGAAGAAGCGTACTCCTACGTTTGAAAAACTGTAATTACTTGCATATTTCTCATAAGGATGTCCCCGCGTGGACTTGCCTGTCTCTCCTGACTCTACTATATTTATACTCGGACCGATGCTCCGTGACTAAAGTCTGAGTTCGGGGTAATGTATACGAGCATATCCCAGTGCCACAGGGTTTGAAGGATCAGGATCAATCCTCCAATCAGGCACTGATTCTGATCCTGTGGAATATATCCGCTACAGGAACTATCTATTCAAATCTTAATGACAGGTGGAAAATCCGCACAAATGTACTCTATACTCGGCCATGCAGCGGGAAATCTCATCAGTTTGCATATTACACTCCACAATAACCTGCATTTCTGCAGAAATAATATTAGCCGACCCCTCCCGGCTGGTGCGAAATCCGGGGTAATACATAAGATCCTGCTCCTCCGTGCCAAGTTGCGGAGAAGCATCTGACGCCCCGTGACTCTTGTTTTCTTAACTTCTCAACGCAACCTCCTGAAACTCCGGTGGACCGAAGGAATCTCGGATCCTTCGTCACATAGGGGCTGAGAAAGATGCCTGGAACGCGGTGGGAGATACACCGCAATTTTCATAGACTTTTTCCACGTATGTCTTTGCTTGTAGTTGTAGGTTGCTCGTATGGGCATAGGGGGGAGGGACTTATAAGGGAGTTGGTTGCTTCAGCCATGAGGGATAAGACTTTCATGTACAATTAGACACTCCGGAATCAGTCCTCAAAGCTATAAACCTCGATTCAAAATGAAGTGCTTCGCTTTTCTACCAGCGCTTGCCCTCCTTCCCGGCACCTTGAGTGCAACCGTCTACATGGCGGGTGATTCGACCATGGCCAAGGGCGGAGGTGGAGCTGGCACTGACGGTAAGTCTCAAGCCAACGAGTCCATTTGCAAGATATGTCTCTAACGCTCTCATTAAAACAGGATGGGGTCTGCACATCGCCCCCTTCGTCTCTGCCACAGTATCGAACAAAGCAGTTGCCGGCCGCAGTGCTCGCTCATATACCCGCGAAAAACGTTTCCAAGCCATCGCAGATGTCCTGAAGCCAGGTGACTATGTGGTCATCGAGTTCGGGCACAACGACGGCGGCAGCCTCACAACAACCGATAATGGCCGTACAGACTGTCCCGGAACGGGCGACGAGACCTGCACTACCACTTACAACGGTGTCACGGAAACCGTGCTCACTTTCCCCAAGTACTTGGAGAATGCTGCGCAGTTGTTTCTGTCCAAGCAAGCCAAGGTGCTGATCTCCAGTCAGACGCCCAACAATCCGTGGGAGACCGGCACCTTCTCCTATACTCCGTCGCGCTTCGTCGCGCTCGCCAAATTGGCTGCACAGACAGCGGGCGTGGATTATGTCGACCATGGCGCCTATGTGGCCGACATGTATAAGTCTCTGGGCATGACGACCGTTGACTCATATTTCCCAAATGACCACACCCATACCAGCTCTACAGGAGCTGAAGTTGTTGCACGCGCTTTTCTCAAGGCTGTAGTGTGCAGCGGCGCTCATCTGAAGGACGTCTTGAACACAACGGATTTCTCGGGCAGATGCCTGTGATTGAGACCCCTGGTAGCTTGCAGATCATGTGGTCTTACCGATAGTCCTTATGTATATAAGAATTGATGCAGAATCCAAATCACCCGGGTATCCAAAAATGCATTAGTGCCGCAGTACATATTAAAACAAAAATATTCCACATAAAGTCTGTCAACGAACGACGTTCAAAGTATAACCGAAAGTGAAAATACACAGTATGGCCGTCGCTAAATGCTAGTCATAAGCTCGTCAGAACTGCACGCTGCGCTGTGTGGTATTTTGAACTTGAAATAAAGGCGAAATGATTATTTGAGCTCCTCCAGGGTCGCTTTGACAATTCCGCGCTTCTCCACACGTCGGTAGTATTGCGCCAAATTGGGATATTCGTCGTTCGAAAACGGTCCGCATGTCTGTACAATATCTCGCAGTACTGGCCAGAGGAAGCAGTCATCGAGCCCAAGAGCTGCTCCCCCAAGATAGTACTGCCCGTCCAGAGCCTTCTCCCATGGATCCAGGGATCCCGGATTAATATTTTCGCCATTGCTATGGGAGGTTCGCCAGTCCTGCAAAAGCTCATTGATCTCGAGAAGTTGGCTGGCACCACGCAACACTTCCACTCCCGCTCGGGTAAGCTCTGGCGCATGCTTTGCAAGATAGTTCATAATATCCAGCTCCCCAGCAATTTCAGTGCCGTCCGCTGTGATCAAAACCGGTCGCGCCTTTCCCTCCACGCTGTTTGCGACCTCTGAAGGAGCTGTCACCTCGTATCGGATCCCATTCTCACTGAGCGCGAGTCGAACTCGGAGATTGGACACACGGTCGGAGGAGTCCTCGACCAACTTAGCTACCGATGTGGTGACAAAGTTGACCACATCGAACCCTCCGCCGTACACAGCCTCCCAATCAAATTCAGTGGCCTGATTCTCCTGGCCGAACGCGCGAACCAGCCGCTCTGTCTCTACGGGGTCTCCATGGATTACGGAATTCGCCTGACTCTGGTCTTTGGAGACAGCCCCCTGGCCCCAGATTGCATCACCGGCCTCGTTCAAGAAAGTGCCAATGTGTCGGAAGGTGAGCGATATACGTTCGCCTCCATAAGCCAGCTCTTCGGTGGATTTCTCCGCCGCCAGTCGCTTGTCAGGCCGTATGCCATGCAGCCAACGCATGTTCGTCTTCTCTCCTAGAATGAAGAGTGACTCGTGCGGCATGGGTATGCGCTGTGTGGGTCTTTGGTCTTCGTCCGCAGCCTTGACTTTGTTTCGGAGTGTCATCACTCGCTGAGCACCAAGGCTCACATTGCAGATAAATGAACCTCGGACAATATCAAGCGTCTTGTCTGAATGCTCGGAGATGCTGTCCTGTCCGTCACGGTAGAGTTGAATGAGGACATGGTTGAGCGGGTGACCAAGGATACGTTCTACAATGATGCGGATCTGGTTCACGGTCGGTGTGAAAGGGCGTAACGGTGGAGATTCATCCGCGGGATGGCGATATATAGGGATGGATCCGTCATTCTGTGTTTGTCCTTGGACTGCGACAAGACGAGGAACTTGCCCCGTCATATGGTACATCTTCTGCCAAGCGACCTCGCTGCGGATACTCTCAAAGGCGTCCTCAGGTAGGTCCAAGTCATAAATGATGCGAGAATCACCCTCTCCAAGCTTATCACCCGGTCCGCGTATATCTTGCGACTTTTTAGTCTTACCGCTCCGTCGTTCTTCTGTCCGGTTGGACGCCTCTGCCTTTTGATCTTGTCGTCTTGTGCGACGCACACGTACGCGCGCCTTCTTCTCCCCCGCACCATGAGCCTGAGACGAGCTTCCTGGTGAGCCAGATGGTCCGTAGCGGGAGCGGGAGCGGGTCAGGTTTGTCAGATTCAACAAATTGTCTTCCTCGTCGTCAGTCTGCTCTGCTAGGAGAGCATCAAGTCTCCGTCGCCGACTGCCCAACGACTCCGGTGTTCCCTCGTTGGCCGTGGGCCCACGGGTTGTTTTGACATCGAGTTCATCCATTACGCCTTCGATGCCAGCCGGCGTAACAGCTCGCACGGGTCTGTGTGCACTTTGACGAGCAATAGCGTCGGTCTCTTGCCAATCAAGCTCTTCGAATAGCTCCTGAGTTGTAATTCCACTGGCGCCAAATATATCGGCCATGCGGCGCATAGCTTCCTCATGGCGTACGAACTCGCGGAACCCCAGGCAGTCCTCAATGAGGGTTACAGAGAAGCCGTGGCGAACAGCGTCGAGGGCGGTAGCATACACCGAGACATTAGAGAGCGAGCCGCAAAGATATAGCTCCGTAATAAATCTTGTGCGAAGAGAAAGTATCATTCCGTCATCTTGTAGAGCGGAATAATCCGACTTGTCCATCAACGTGTCGTTTTCGGCATCGATAGCAGCCAGAATCGGTGCGGGGAATTGAAAGCCGTTGGACTGCGGCCGGCAACATTGCGAAGACTCGCTCGACAGAAACGCTTCCTCATCGACCGGTGTTTTCGAGCTGGGTCGCTCGGGAGTTTTCCTTCGTTCATCCGTGTCACGGCCTAGCACTATCCGGTCCTGGAAGTCCGAATCTATGAGGGGTCGATGCGATTCATAGTGGGAGCGGACCCAGATAACATCACCGGTGCGACGAAAAGCAGTGACTAGTTGAGCGATATTTTCCAAGATATCAGCTGCATTAGGAACATGCAGTGCACCAGATGGGCGAACAAAATCGTTTTGAAAATCGAGGAGCAAAAGGGCTTTTCGTGTCTGGATGGTGGGCAGAGCACTGAATGCGGAGAGAAGGCTCATTGTATGCACATGCTAAGAGGAGCGTAAGTGATGTTTTTAGAAGATATCCGCATAGGACAACATGAGCCGCCTGCTACAGGATAAGCCACGACAGTTGATTAGGACTCCTCAATGCGGGGTGGAGAGGAGTTGAGACAGTCACCGACCGTCGACTTTGGAGGGGATACGAGAATGATACCTCAGGCAACCAGGCGTTTCCGAGACCAAAGTACCCACAAAGTCCGTTCTCAAGGTACCTCTCTACGGAGTACACTTAAAGGTACCTACAACAAAGTGCTAGCCTGCGAGGTACCTTTGTACGACAGGCTTGTATCTCTAGCAATTACTATGTAGAGAGATGACTCCGCATCAATTTGGACGCAGTCTAGACCAGAAGGCAATTGTCATGGATGAGAGGAACACATGAAATTAACGAATTGATATGAATCACAATAATGGTTACTATTATCTCAAACCCCCCGACTTCTAAGACTCTGTGACTCAACCTTGGGATTTTCTCCATATTCTGGGTGGATGCTCCCCGTGGACGGAGCACAGATTTCACCATGGGGACTCGAGAAGAGCAGACAGATCGTTCTGCACGGCGATGGCGGTGGTTCTGTTGGCCAATCATACCGCGTAGTATCCGACATCGGCCGGGGAGCCCAGCACCAACTCCGGTCACGTGCCTAGCACAGCTGGTACCGTCGTCCTCGACGAGGAGCTTATAAGTCTCTCAGCGTCCGTCCCCAGGAAAACTTTCCTTCCCTCTTCATTATTTTCTTGCAAAGCATCAAGTTTTTGACCAATCTCCCCTCCTCTTCCTTCCTATACACCCTTTTCCTCCATCTTCACATCCTACGAATCACAATGGCTTCCCGTGGACTCCCCCGTGCCCTCCGTCTGGCCCGTGTTGCCGCCCCTCGCACAGTCATCTCGGCCGCCCTCCCCCGGCCTGCTCTCGCTAAGGCTGCTACCCGTGTGGCTGCCTCGACCGCCCCCGTCCGTGGTGTCAAGACCATGACCTTCGCTGATTCCAAGGAGACCGTCTACGAGCGTGCGGATTGGCCCCGTGAGAAGCTCCAGGAATACTTCAAGAATGACACTCTCGCTCTCATCGGTTACGGTTCCCAGGGTCACGGCCAGGGTCTCAACCTCCGTGACCAGGGCCTCAATGTTATTGTTGGTGTCCGCAAGGATGGTGCCTCATGGAAGGAGGCCATCCAGGATGGCTGGGTTCCCGGCAAGAACCTGTTCGACCTCACCGAGGCCGTGCAGAAGGGTACCATTGTCATGAACCTGCTTTCCGACGCTGCCCAGAGCGAGACCTGGCCCACTCTCAAGCCCCTGATCACCAAGGGCAAGACCCTCTACTTCTCCCACGGTTTCTCCCCCGTCTTCAAGGAGCTCACCAAGGTCGACGTCCCCAAGGATGTTGATGTCATCCTCGTCGCCCCCAAGGGTTCCGGCCGTACCGTCCGCACCCTCTTCCGTGAGGGCCGTGGTATCAACTCTTCCATTGCCGTCTACCAGGACGTCACCGGCAATGCCAAGGAGAAGGCCATTGCCATGGGTGTTGCCGTCGGTTCCGGTTACCTCTACGAGACCACCTTCGAGAAGGAGGTCTACTCCGATCTGTACGGTGAGCGTGGTTGCCTGATGGGCGGTATCCACGGTATGTTCCTCGCTCAGTACGAGGTTCTGCGTGAGCGCGGCCACAGCCCCTCTGAGGCCTTCAACGAGACCGTTGAGGAGGCCACTCAGTCTCTCTACCCTTTGATCGGTGCCAACGGCATGGACTGGATGTACGCCGCTTGCTCCACCACTGCCCGTCGTGGTGCCATCGACTGGTCCAGCCGCTTCAAGGACACCCTGAAGCCTATCTTCAATGAACTGTACGACAGTGTGCGTGACGGCACTGAGACCAAGCGCTCGCTCGAATACAACTCTCAGAAGGACTACCGCGAGAAGTACGAGAAGGAGATGCAGGACATCCGTGATCTCGAGATCTGGCGCGCTGGAAAGGCCGTTCGGTAAGTTTCTTCGGTCATACAATTCGTCGATGACCATATGCTAATTATACCGCAGTTCCCTCCGCCCTGAGAACCAGAAGTAATTTAATTTTGCATCAATGGGAAGGCTTGGGAAAAGTTACGACTGTACTATGACTTGATTTGTTTTTCTGACCTGGGATCCTTGAGTTATTAATTGGGAACTGAGAATACCACATTTCATTTATTATTTTCCATACTTCCGCATCGCATTGACTGTAGAGGCACATTTAACTAGCCATTTCCGTAGCCGATGACTCAATCGGCCTCATGTCCGATGAGGGAGCTCCGCCTTTCGTATAAATTATCTTTTCTGCCTCCAGAGAATTCAAATTCTCTTTTCCGTTGTAGAAAGCAAGACATTTAGAATCTCAAGTTCAACATGGCCGAACCTTCCATTACAGCGCAATCATTGACCCCGGATGCCGTGCGCTCCGCCTACGCCTTGATCCAGCCGTACGTCCACCGCACGCCTCTCCTCACCTGTCAAACGTTGAACAACATCGCCTCGACCCCTCAATCGGCCGAGTCATTGGTCGGGACACCCTTCGAAGGCCAGACACCTGCAAATCCCAAGTTCCGATTCTTCTTCAAATGCGAGAATTACCAGCGTATCGGCGCCTTCAAGGCCCGCGGTGCGTTTCATGCTTTGCTGCGACTCCTCGCAGAGCGGGGTGAGGAGGAAGTCAAGAGACGCGGCGTGATTACACATAGTTCTGGTACAGAATTTAACAAATCATGCTCTGGAGGTAAAACATGCTGACAACGGAATAGGAAACCATGCTCAAGCCCTCGCCCTCGCAGCCTCCACCCTCCACGTTCCGGCGTACATCGTCATGCCCAGCATCAGCACCCCGTCGAAGATAGCAGGGACACGCTCGCACGGCGCAGAGGTCATATTCAGCGGCTCGACGAGCACCGAGCGCGAAGCCGTCGTCGCGGAGATCCAGGCCAAGACGGATGCGATCCTCGTCCCGCCGTACGATCACTTCGATATTATCTGCGGCCAGGGCACGACCGCCTTGGAGATGGAAGAGCAATACCGCGCTCTTGTCACCGACAAGCCACATTTGAGTGTTCATGCGAGCGGGGCCGAGGCGGATGCCGGATCGAGACACCTCGATGCGGTGATCACACCTGTTGGGGGCGGGGGGCTGAACGCTGGTGTTGCGACGTTCTTCTCCGATAAACCTACGCGTGTCTTTGGTGCGGAGCCGAGCTTTGAAGGCGCGGACGACTGTCGCCGGGGCCTGGAGGCGGGTCAGCGTGTGGAGTCCGTCAAGACGCTTACCATTGCCGATGGGCTGCGTACCCCCGTGGGGGTCTTGAACTGGGAGATCATCTCGGACCGGAGTAAGGTTGCTGGTGTGTTCGCCGTGACTGAGGATCAGATCAAGGCTGCGATGCGGCTGGTCTTGGAGCGCATGAAGGTGGTTGTTGAGCCTAGTGCGGTCGTGGGACTCGCAGTTTGCTTGTTCAATGAGGAGTTTAGGCGACTCGCTGAGAAGGAAGCTGGTCCGGATGGATGGGACATGGGTATTGTGTTTAGCGGGGGCAACACTACCGTTGAGGCAATTGGGAAGTTATTCGCCTGATGCTGAGTCGTCCATTCAAGGGTGAGAGATGTGTGAAGCACAGGTATATCTTAGCATAGCATCATATAGCTTGTCACATAATGTACATACATCATTATCATATGTGAGACTCCTACCAAACACGAGGATATCAGGAAAATTCGACGCCGCCTCTGCCTACATGAAACGAGAACACGCCCCCATTTCTCTCCTTCAATCCGTCCACAAATCTCCGAGGCCATTCTTCGCGCTCCCATTCATTGACCCAGCCCAGGAATCTTCCCTCCAAAACAACATTCTGACGCATGACTGCATCTCGCTGCGCATCACGGGCAGTCATCATCGGCGGAAACGGACGCACCGCGTCACGCCGAACCACAAGACGTAGCGTCGCGAAAGTGGCCCATGGAGCTGGCAACGGGCAACGAAAAGAAGGCATACTTCTGGCCGTCGTCACATTCGAAGGGTTGTACAGCTCGAAAGGGGCAAATGGTTGTTGCATTGACTGGCCGTGGCCATGATAGCCAGTTACCGATCTGCTGTTTAATGTGTTACAAGTGTAGGCGACTATACAGCCGAAATGTCGCTGTAGGTTCTTCAGGCTCTGTACCAGTTCGGCATAGATACCCGACAGAAAGAATATTCGCTTCTGATTTCGCTCGTGCTCGATCTCGGCGACAGGGCGTCCTATATTCTCTGTACGCGTGACATCGTCGTGTAGTTTATCTTGCCAGAAAAAGGCAGTGGCACTGTCGATGAAAATAGCGTGTAGTGGTCTGTGAGAAGAGTAATGACGTGAAATGTCGAGTAGGTATGCATCCAGACTTTTCAGCGTCGCGAGTAGAGAGGCGGACGATTGTGGACGAAACACATGGACGTGTTGTAGGGAGGTCGCGATAATGGATTCCAGCTCTTCAGTAGCAAGAAGCGGCGGATGTATCTGCACCTCTGGTGTCTCTCTGGCCCCTGTACCAGAATGCGCCTTGAGCTTACTGTGTATGAGGCCACAGGCAACAGTCCGAAGACGCTCAGCGTCAAAACGGCCATCTGCATCAATAAAGACGACGGCTGAGGCCAGACCATCGACTCGAATCTCGTTGATTGTCGATGGTAGGACGGCAATTGCAGTGAGATAATACAGCAAGTGAGTCTTGCCGGCTGCTGAAGATACGCTGGATATCTCTATAACCGGGTCGATTTGCTTTGTGAGAGATGCCGTAGGGAGCCCGCGGTCTTCGGCTGTACCATTCTGGTCGTCCTCATCATCCGCTTGCATGTGCTGCACCTCGTGTTCATTCTGCTGCCCTTGGTACGTATCTCGTCCCACCTGTTGAATCTGAGCCTGAACAGCAGAGAGGGAAGGCATGAACACCTCCAAGAGGGCATCTAACTGTTTGACGCCCAACTTTGAGGTGCTCTCCCCAGAACTGCTCGGAAATAGGCTTCTCAAGTCATGTAGAAGCTGCAAAGCTCAGCATGGATACCCTCAAGCATGCGATCTGAGCATTATAATGTTAGAACATACCTCATCCAGGCGTTCCGTGCGTACATCCCTCAGCAATTTCTCCCCGAAGCTGGCCGCCATTCCTTATTCGGGCGAGCTGAATAGAAGTCATGGATGTTTTGTCATCATATTTTGTTATTGATCGTTGTTAACTTCCTACAGAAGGCATGGAATTGATCATGGCCTGGGAATTTGTTGTCCCGGCATCCATTCGACCTCCGCATCGGTCTCGACTCAATAATCGCATCGCCAAAAGACGGAGGTTTCCGCTTCCATCAACCTTTCTTCTTTCACCGTGAGATTGAAGCAGAACATACCATTCATTCATCACTATATCTTAGCTTTTCTTAATACTCGACTGGAACACAAAGCCGCACTCTACGAGATCTCCAATGGCACCCCTCGTTCCTGTCTTCTCTGCCGAATCGCTCCCCGAGCATGTCAATACCGTCAATCGAAATTTCCAGGAAAGACGTCGCAAAGGTGGACCAGTCGACCTGGAGAGTTGCAAGTTACTGGAAATGGTGCAGTACTCGTGTAATCCACCTCAGGACGGTATCCCCAAGCCAGGCGTTGTGACGTGCAAACCCATTGTCCGGTTATTCAGACGGTAAGTTCATCCTGCATCACTTGCTGGATCCACTAGCTGACTTTCCTTTCCCAAAGGTGTGCCGGTGGATTAACGGTCGAAACGACAGCATGGGAGCCCATCAGGCTGGCCGAAGAAGAGGCGAAACGAAAACGTGCAGCAGAAGAGGCCACCAAGGCGTGATACGAAAGTACTTGCATTTGGGCGGAGTTGAGTTCGGAAGTCTACAGCTATCGGATACCAGGGCGGATACCAGGGGTCTACCATTGCCATTGCATCACTGAATCGCATAATTTCTCTGCATTGTACTCATTGGGTATCTTCTTGAGTTCGCTCAATACAAAATCACAACGCCCTGACGCCGTCCGCCGCAATGCGAAATGAACTATGTGCTCACCCAGCTTTCCACTCGTGAAACACTTGTGGGATCCTTCGTTCCGGCTGGTTTCTCTTCCGCTTTCCGATTGCTGGGTGCCGTCGTCCGGCGCCAGAGACCTCGTTCGCAATTGATGACTGGCGGAAGCTCCAGGCTGAATGAGAGCTTCGGCCGGGTCGCCTTGAGCTCCGGATCCGCAGCCGCTCCAGAATCAATATCCATTGTTGCAGCTGTTCCGGGTGCAGGTACATCTTTGTGCATTTTCTTTGCGATGCCTTTGACTGTTTTCTCAAACATACTGTCCAAGCTCTCCATCCTCCGACCCCACAATCTCTTTTCGCGACCGGCCCAGCCGAGTTGATTATCCTTGAAGGATGCCCGCGCCAGCTTGCGCAACGCCTCCTCGCCATGTCTTCCCTCTTCAGTTGCGCGCTCACGAATTTTCCGTGGGTCTTGCTCCCGCTGTGTGAACACAGGTGTGTGCCGGTATGTATGTTTACTGGGAAATTGCGGGAAATGCTTTGGGATATATGCGCTTTGAACACGGTCACTTTCGCCGCTCAGTTCAGGGCCGAGAAATGGTAGACTCAGCCAAGCATCCTCTTCTGGTGGAGGACTAGGCAGGAGTGTAGGGACAGGTTCGATATTTGGCAGAGGTTTTAAGTGCGGAAGCAGATCGTCCACGCGCAGGTGGTGTCTTTTGAAGGCGAGTTCGAAATCTTGGGGTATAGGTTGACTGCGTCGGCTCGAGAGCATTGTTTGCCGCACAAAGGATGCGAGCTTTAAGAGGTCTAGCAAGCAGCTTAGTCAAGAACACAGCCGACACATTCCCTTGCGTATCTCTATTCAAGTCATTCTGGTAACAGGAAACATACACTCCTCTGTAGCATAGCGAAAACTCTCCAGCGCGACTGGATCGGCGAGATCAAATCCGGACTCTCTGAGACATAGCCCGATAGAGCAATTCATCAAGTGAGCAACGTGGGCGTCATCATTGATCGCCGGCTCCGGAAGAGCTGGGATAACGGGATTTCGTAAGCGGTGGTGGTGGTGATATGAACGCTTTATTCGCTTCGTATCAGGCCCCTGCTGCTCTGAAGGTGTAGAAGAAGAATGCTTGAGGGAGTTTTCTGAGGACACCATGGCGGTGTGGGTGGATGATTATAGACACAACAGAGAAGGTGACGAGAGAGTCTCTATCCGGACATCGCAAGAGCTTCGCGTCGGGTCACGTGTTGGTGCCTGAGGCATGACATATCACAATGTATTGACGAAGACGGAGTAAAGAAAGAAGGATGGCAGATTCTACGTCCAGAAAATACATTTCGTCTATATCATTTACTATGAAGCATATGTGAGCCAATTGTGAGCGTTTGGCCCGAATATCTGTGCTATCCTCCTGCCCGTTCGGAGGACCCAGTCAGGCCACTCACATCGGTCGCTTACGTGCCGGATCGGAAAGCTTCACCTCGACTTTCAAGTTCGCATCATCGTTCGCTTTCCTTTCCTTCCCCCTCCGCCTGTCCCCCACCACCTCATAACAGGGTTTCCTGGCTGCTGATATTGCATCTGCTTGCCTTCTTGAATCGACTATTCTCATCAATCCGTCGCAATGGCCGCCGCTATTCCTCCTATCACCGGCGTACGTCTACATCCCACCCACGCTACATCCGTGCTCCTACCTTCGGTCACTCGGTAGCGATTGGGTCAAGCACATATTGGCTAACACACGAGCTTATAGATGCTCCGCCGTGGTCTCGTTCTCGACCTGAGCACCGCTTTCGGTGAGTCAATCTCATATCGTTCAGCAGCTCGGTGAATCGGAAATACAAGGAAGAGCATGAATGTCCACCAGCTTCCGGAACTCCCAGGATGACCTCGATCTTCCTCCTACGAAACAGACATGCCTTTTCACAATGATTCCGAGCCACTGCACCCAGCGCTGAAAGACTAACCATATACCCGTTCGCGTACAGGTTTCGGCACCACCTTCGGTTACCTCTGGTGGTACGGTACGTATCATCGCAATATTCCCAAGCAGGGGAACTCCTCGATGCTCGTTTTGTAGATATTCTTTCTCACAATTGACCAGGCTACCACCTCCCCCGCGTCCGCGCCCGTGACGCCTACTACACCCGTCTCGAGAAGGAGCGTGCTGCTCAGCAGGCAGCATAGACTTGATACTCTATCGCTTCGATACATCTTTCGGACAAAGTCAGCATAGAGAACGGCATCATTCGCATCCGCTCCGTTTCAAGATTCCCATGGTCATCTGTTGTTCGGTGACGCCAACAATCGCATGGAGGCATAGTAGCTCAGGAGTGATCATATGGAGTGGCTAGGTGCTCGATGGGGATTGGTGGTAATGGTGTCACATCACTTTGTCTGTTTGATGTGTTGAACGGGTCGATGCGCCGGGATTTCGAAAGGAAAAGAAAGAACTTGTTCAATTATTTCGCAATGCTCAGTCATTCCTGTTGGTTGTATATATACGGTGATTGTAGCTCCAGACATGCCGTTTCCTTTGTCCAGGCTCTGTATCCTTTTGGGAAGACCTTGTCAGTCCGTAGAGCTGCTAGACTCTTCCGCCGATCTTGTCCATAGTATTCCAGGAGCAAGATTGAGGCACGATCCGACAAGCACTGCCATGCGCTCCTCAACAACGACAAAGAATGAAAGCAAGATAGCAAATGCTTTGAAAGACATTGGCGAGAGAAGATGTGTGGGAATCGTATAAGTGCTCATTTCTTTCATGGCGAAATCTATCCAGTCGCTAAAGTAGTCAAGTTATGTACGTGCATAAACCATTCCACGATTACGTGAATCCCTATGAGCCTGCATCGCATGCCGCCCATCTCCATATCCATATCCGTATCCATCGAAAAAGGGCATCACTGCGGCCTTGACCATATCATGAGCGCCGTATGTATGATGTTCGTTGAATCCCACCTCGTGTCGTTATGGCGCCAATAAACCGGAACACCTTGCAATCGAAACGTAATGGCCGCCCAAACTCATCGCATCACACGGTCAAACTGCACACCTTTGACGGATCCACCGGCCATCGCGTTGCGAACGTTGCGCTTGAAGCCCTCCCGATTCGTCCGCAGATCATCCGCAGCTTCTTTGTTAAGAGGATCGGAGGCATTTGGCTCAAGGAAGAGGAACTACACGCAAATCCAAAGGTCAGCCTAACAGAGTACACGGAACGGGTTCCAACAAACCCACCTGCATGCCCACAATAACCGCATTCAAGTTCAGAACAGGCTTCCAGTCCTCCCGCAGAATATTCAGACACACATTCCCCTCCAGATCAATATTCGGATGGTAGATCTTCTGCGTGCACTTAACTTTAGGCGGATCATGCGGGAAGTTCTGGTTAACACTGAAGTTGAAATGGAACGCGCCACCCTTGTACATGCCCTCGTCGGGCTCGATCGTAAGCGTAAAGTTGAGGATATCGTCCGGGTTCGGGAAATTCATCTTCATCGTGCTTCCGAGTGTCAACTCCTGCAGATCTAGTTCCCCATGCTACTTGTCAGCGAGCGAGCCTTGCATCCTGCGTTGTGCGCCACTCTCCAGCATCACGCATGCGAACGGTCCGTACCTCTCTGCACGCGCAACTGCGCGGCCGTAACCTTCTTTTTCTTCTTTCCTGCTGCTCCTTCGGCATTTTCAGCCTGCTGTTGCTGTTGTTTCTACAAGTAATACCGAGCTGTCAGTCATACAAGAAGTAGACGCAGGGACCGCGCGGGCAAGAGAGGGATTGTACCATAGACCAGATCTTCAACATCTTGGAGAAAGCACCGCCACACGTCCCCTAGAAGTATTCGACAAGGAGTTCTGGAGATCGAAAAGCAAAAGGAACAAGGAATATTTTTCGGCTCCGATAACACCGGATCTGCAGTGGTCGTGACGAAAAACCAGAGAGAAGTATGAGGAGGGTCACTAGAGTTCGGGCCTGCGGGGGTCTTCGATAGGCAATGAATCAACCAGCGGCCTATTCTCCACTCCGCAGAAGCGCAAGGTGAACGGTGAGGGCGTAGATCGCGATCAAAGGTCGATAAAACACAAGATCTGAACAGACTGTGAGAAAATGGTAAGATAAAATAGGAACTAAAAGGTAGAGGTGACACTGGGACATATTCGATGAAGGCAATGTGCCCGCGGCCTGACGCCATCGCCACTACCCAATTCTTAGACAGGACAGTATCCAGCGCTCATACGATCAAGCCAGAAACAATCACGCAAAAGAGACATACATTCTTTGGCAGCTCTATTTGAGCTATTGATGCATCGAATTCCTTTTCTAATCGCTAAGAGTTTACGAGACATCACAGTGCATGAGGCCTGTCGAAGCACATAGATCCAACCGTGACAGAGCCAACTTCAACAGAACAAGGAGGTAACAAAGCAAGCGTCATATGTAAAATACAATATTGTGATGGAAAATGTGCCAGGAGGTGCTTGGCCATCGATAGACCCGTTGGCGAAGCACCACTAATCGCTCTCATTACGACAGAACGCCCTTCTAACGCCGGGCAAAGCAGCACATCAAACCCGTCTTGCCCAGGAACCAGCAGGCTCCGATGAAACGGAACAGGGCAACGACTGCGTTGGACCACAGCAAAGCCTGGAAGAAACGCTGCGTCCGGTCGGTAGCAGAATTCTGCAATATGTTAGTTTCGCCTCTGGTAACAAGGATTGCCGACATCTACATACCGTGAAGCCGAATTTATCCACGCCGTCACTGGTGATGCAAACGGCCAAGAACGCGTTGCTAAAGATCCAAAACGTGACCAGTCTCGTTCGGAAGCTCTTGTACGAGTCTTCCAAAGTCTTCTCCTCCTTCTCAACTGGTGGCACATAGGGTGTTAGGGCTCGCTTGACCGTTGCCTCGAACTGACTGTCGATATCAGCCTGAGGCTTGTCGATTTCCTCGATGACAACCTCCTTGCCCTCATCCTTGGTGGTCTTGGCAGAGGGTAGAGCGTCTGCCTTGTCTGAACCCTTGGTACCCCACGAGACGTCGTGCCAATTGCTGAAAGCGTAGACGTTCAGGATATTGATGTATGACGACTGGACACACATGTAGGCAGGGAAGGATGTGAACATGTGCCAGGGGTCCAGATACATGAAGGATGCCACAAAGTAGAGACCGAATGTAGCAGCGAGGGCGATGATAATGATACCGGCACCGCTGGACGAAAAGAACGATTTCAGGAACTCGCCAACGCCTTTGTCTGTGGTGAAATCCATAGGAGCACTTCCACTGAAGGCACGCACCACCAGGTACAGCGCATCAATAACCACGTAGACCTGGATGATGCCGAAAACCACGAAAGACGCAAGATATGAGAACTTCGAACCCTTTGGACGGTTACCCAGCGCGAGGATGAATTGCAACAGTAGGAATCCCAAGTAGATATATTTCACGATGGTATTGATAATGGGAGTTGCAGTCTCGCCGAAAGGGAAAGCCTTGTGATTGTTAGCGTCGCCCGGGGTGCCGACCAAGTCCATGATGACGGTAGTAGTAAGCCAGTAAGAAGCTATTTGAACATCTGTCAGAACAAGATCCAATTGGGTGGGGGGGGG